GCTGCCCGCGGGGAGCAGCACGTGGTGCCTGACCCGCTGCCCGGAGCATTGTTGGGATGCCGCCGCCTCCCCCGCCCTGCCCGGGCCGCCAGGGCCCCTCTCTGGGGGATTCCGCGGGGCTCCGCCGCTGCCCCGGACCTGCATCCTTGCTGCGGTGGCTGATGCCTGTCCAGAAGGATTTCTGGCTAGTGATGCCCTTCGCTGCGTGGGGTCGTGGCAGCTGGAGCACCCAACAGAGCTTCCACGGGCTCCTCTGTCTGCACTCGCCCGCGGAAAGCTGCCCTGACTCACTCACCACTTGACCCCAGTCAGCTGAAACGGGAGCGAATGTGGCTCCCTCTGCCCTTCCTATTCACCCCTGGACCCCCAGACCCACCCAAACACGTGGCATCTGTGGTGGCAGCTCCCTGCAGCCGGGCCCAGGGCCGCACACGTGCCCCATCTCTCCAGGGATGCGGGAGCTGGCAGCCAGCGGCCCTGAGCCCTGTGGGACTAAGGATCATCCCGAACCCAGCACAAAATCCACGGCTGGGCCAGCGCCCATCGTGTGGAGACGCAGCTGCTGGTTCTCAGATAATCTGTTTTTGGCACCCCCCTCCAGGCTCAGCTCTACCCCCTCGTCACCTCCCCCTCTTATTTATAGCCCAGCAGGGGAGCAGGATGCCAGCAGCCCTGCGACCAGCTGCCATCCCAAGTCCCCATGTCCTGCAGCCGCAAGGGGCACAGCAAGGGGCACCACTGAGTTAAAAATGCTTTTAATGGCCATGTTTGCTTTGGTCTGAATCCAAGGGCACTTGTGACAAGGCAACTCAGAGTCCCTGGGGCACACGTGGTCCCTGGGCTTCCTGGCTGGGGGCCCCAGGGGTAGCCGGAGCCACAGGGAACTGTGTGGGAGCAGCAGGATGGGGGGCCCAGCCCCAGCTCCTTGTGCCCCACACCCAGCGCTGGGTCTCAGGGACTGCACTGAAGCTTCATCCCTGAGAGAGGCACTGGCTTGTGGGCCTGGCAGGGCCGAGCTCTCCCGACCTGTGTCATGCTAGAGCCCAGCAACGTGAATGTTTAATCCTGCATTAAATATCATCCCAGTAGAGTGGGCAGAAAACCTCTGTGGTCACCCTGGGTCCATCTGGGCAGGTGCTTGGAGCTGATGGGGCTCTGTGGGTCCAGCTCATGCTCCCCATGCACTGACATGGGAGGTCCCAGCCCACCCACTGGCTTGGGGAACCAGCCCTGCCGCTGTGGAGATGGAGACTGCCCGTTCCAGCGCTTGGTAAAAGGCTTTCAACCGTGGCACCGTCAGAGCGGAGCCATGTCGCCGCAGGATGAGACCCACCCCGCTGTCAGGGTCGCCACTGCCTCGTCCCACGGCTGGCACCCTACCCTCCTGCCCAGGATGGGTGGGAGAAGATGATGTTCCTCTTCTTGGCCCAGCGGGAGAAGATGGCTTTCTCGGTGATAAAGCGGTGCCCGGCGCGGCGGGCTCGCTCATGCATCAGGTACATCCTGCACTCGTCCAGCTGGCCCTTCTCGAAGTAGTGGTAAGGCACGCTCGAGTGGTTCTTCTCCCTGGCAGGAGGGGATGGGGTGAGCACAGGACTTAAGAGGGACACTGAACCACCCCACCCCCACCCCTGATACCCCCACACACACCTGCAGTAGCTGTCGCTGACCATGCCGAAGACGCAGATCTGCTCGCACAGCTCCATGGCCAGGATCATGGTGAACCAGCCCGTGCTCAGGAAGGAGCCAGATTTTATCCTGCAAAGCACCGCGGCTATGCTGGAGCAGGCGGCATGGTGCTGCCTTCCCAGCTGGGCCATGGGTGCCTGACAAGGGGGGACAGGTGCTACGGTGGGAGGACCCCACGGGGGCTCCTCAGGAGCTGGGGGTACCTGTTCTTCCCCGTCTCGTTCTGGAAGACATCATCGCAATACGTCATCTTCTCCTCGGTCAGGGTGTAGATCTGCAGGCGGGGGTACATCTCCATCACCTTCAGCAGTGCCTGGTAGGTCGAGCCCACCTTCTCCCGGTTCATCTTCTTTGTTGGCCCCCAGATGATGTAGAGGGTCTCCTGGGACTGCTGGAAGAAGTAGGGCTGGTTCCTCAGCAGCAGCGGGACGCTGGTGTGTGACACCACCCGGACGGTGCTCCGTGCCCCCACATCCTCCTCGTAGCCGGCAGTGGGGGCATGGTTCATGCGCAGGACACACTCCTGCCCGTCGATGGCCCGTCCCATGCGCGAGCCCAGCATCTGCCCTGAGCTTGAGACAACGGCGCAGCGACGGCACAGTGCCCGCTCCAGTGGCTGTGGGGAGACGCACCGTCAGCCATTGGCTCCCCCTTCCCTCCCGCACCAGCCCCATCTGCCCTTCCCTGAGGAAGGGGAAACTGAGGCACGGGCAGGTTGAGCCGCCCCACCAGCCCCAGCGCTGCCCCGTCCCCACGCACCTTCCCGTCGGGGACGCGGCTGTACCCCGGGAAGCGGAGGATGGTGGGTGCCCCGGGGCTCGGCTCCCCCGGGGCCCAGCAGCAGGGCCGCAGGCAGGCGTGGGAGCACAGCAGGACATAGAGCGTGGTCACCGCCGCCACGCACACCAGCGTGAGGAACAGCCGCGCCTGGAAGCAGAGCGGGAAGGTTTCTCCAGGCCTGGCCACATGCACCAGCCCCG